AAACGGTGCCGAGGGGAGAATTATTAGCGTGGGATCTATCGCACACACCGCCGCGGTTCGAGAACGCGCGCGAGCGGGAAACACCGTTACGAGACGCGTATAATCCAGCCGGTCCGGTCGAAACATTCCAGGAATATATTGTGCGCGCGAGTATCGTCCGCCTGCGGCCATCCGTCTTTATTGGCAAGCGGAATCGGCAGGTGCGACACAATGCCCCATCGGATCGATCACTCTTCGGCTTCTCGCGTGGCAGCGCCTTCGAAAAGCTGCGAGGAAATCGCGATACATCTCTCACGAAAAACGATTTCCCTTTCGTATAGGAATACCTATATATCGTGTGTGCGCATAGAGATCCGTTTGAATTACAAATTGGTTTATTACAGTCGCTTTACCTATTACACACCTTGGTTACTCGGATAATTAAGCGTGAGCAAGAGCGCGCACGTACATTAGCATCCGTGGATAAACGCGAGAAAATGATAGCGAGGCGATGAAATCCGTGTACTCGTGCGTCATATGCGCTTGGAGTCGGTTATGCACAGCTAATTAATGCTTTGAGAGCCGGCGTACTCGAAGCGGGCGAATCAAAAACACGCGAAGCATTCACGGTATACTTGTGTATCACGAAACAGCTCCTTGCTCCGATTAACCCTTCCATCATATCGGGGGACCACCCGTTTCGGCTCTGCTCTCTTCCTATTAACGTGTCGGTCGCGTAACTTTTCCTGGAATATCGCGAACGCTTGTCCCTTTTTCTTTCCTTTTTTTTGTACTCGTTAATAATAAGGAGAGCATGTCCGATGTAACTGTAAAATGTTGTATTAAGCGAGAATGGCGTAATGCAAATTGTGTGATTATTGTGTGGTATATATGACAACCCAAACGGAAATAACGAAAAATCGAGAATGCAAAATGCGGATGTATAAGTTCTATATCGCTATAATAAAGTCACGGATATCTATGAAAATTATACTGAGCGACGTCGCAAAAACTTTTGCAGGATACGACTCGTAATCGGATAGATCAGGATTGTCCCCCGATTGATAACAAACTGTTCTAATAAAATATTTTAACATTAGAATAAAATTTTCAAGAGCTTATACGAACGATAAAATTCAATGCCGTTAATGATTGCCATTTAATATACGTGAATTACGCTATCGCAAGTTACATACAACTAATAGCGCAGAACGGAAGGAGAATTTCTCAAGCGTGATACGCGTTCATCTCTCGAGTTCGGATCAGCATCACGTGTACTGGAATATCTCGTCGATTATAAAGATTTCTTGGCAAAAATTTAAATACACTTCTTAAAATAAACCCTTTCTTAAAATTTAAATTCTCATTTTTTGAAACAAAGTTACAACAATTTAAAATTGCTGATTTTTTGAGGAGTGCATTATAATTTTTTTTATCATTTTAACATCAATCTTTTAGCATTGCTCCGTTTCGCATACTTAAACGTATATATTTTTTTCTTAATTACTGTTAGAATCTCCTTACATATGTGAAACTCTTCTTATAGACGTTTCAACGATTTCTTAATTTGGTGTGTGCTAATTGTTAATACAAAATAAAATTACTCCTCGTACATTTTGTATATCCGGTTTCACGGTGCGTGCCGTTCCGGTAAGACAATCGCGTACAAAATTATAGCACTTCGCCGAAGGCGCGAATCATTAAACAATCAGCGCTAATTGTTCGATATATCCGTCATTATAAATCAAGATTAAAGTAGGCGTAGACATTAACCCTTGCTAACGTCGGTCAACCACATGTAATCACACGTTGGAACGGACAATGGCAACGGACGACCGCAAACGGTGCGTCACGCATGAATATTCGCGAGCGCTTAAACCGGCGCTTAAACATTATCCGGGATCCACTTAAGTGCGAGCAACATGCTAGTTAACCAGATTTTAATTGAAGTCGTAATACGTGCCCCCGGTCGGATTTAACGACCGGCTGTTCCCTGCGCCTTCTTTCTTCGCCTCCCACGACCAGCACAGCGCCGGGATTACAATTGACATCGTGACAGTGTGCAGTTCGTTCCGAATTATGAGACTTGGAGACTCGGCGAACGTCCTCCTGCAAAGCGTCAACGGGATTTCTCTTGGGATAGGTTCAGGTGGAATTTTTCTTAAACACCGCTACAATCTCTTTCTATACGTATGGATAACTAGGTACAGCGCTTATATGAAATATCATTATCCGAAGAATGTGCTTCATTATAGCTTCATTCCATTCCTTTGATTTTGTTTAAAAAAATCTCAAAGAGTGAATATCCGCATATGGGATGTGACGCTTTCGTAATAAAAATAACACCGGTGATTTTTCTCTAGCGAGATTCCGGATGCACAAAATTGTATCTCTTTGAAACGCACATTTTAATCGCAAAATTTCATTCGGAAGAGTTATACATATAGATCCGCTAATCTATACGACTGTCAGGAACATAGTACAGTTTGTTACTCGAATACTCACACAGAGAGAAAGCAACGGATTCGCCCAATAATCTATTTATTTATCGCAGTATGGAACGATAACTGTCAACATGGAGTCCATCAGAAGCATCGGCGTGGCGATGCGTTTATAATCCGGTAAAAACGACCCGGCGAAGAGTTAATGGGCCGCGAACAGCCTTGAAATCGGTATTGAGTTTGTTCCTCATCTTGTTGCGACGATCGGAGACTCGAGATAAATCTTTAATACGATTAAAATATTCCTCTATTAGCATATAACATCTTGAAGAGTAGCTAACGGATTATAAAAACGATGTAGTAGAATATAATAATAACAACAATGTATATATATAAAGATATGTATAGAGAGAAAAAAGAGCGAGATATAATCATATAAGATATATTATTGTACTTTGTTTTATAGTGAATTAATACTTATATCATACAACATTATATTAACGAGTTTTATGAATATTTAACAGACTGTCTTATCATGTTCGTCTTCTCTTCCCGTTGGAATAAGAGATAAATCACACCACAAACGAGCGCTATGCTTTATTATTATTAATCGGCCGGTCTCTATGATAATCCTTGGCCTTTGTTCTATTTCGGTCGAACGATACGGATCGCTTACCGCCACATTGTTGCAAATGAAAATACTGGTTAAACTAGTCATAAGTTTTCGCGCGCGCGTGCGGATTAATAGAGCCGCGAGGAAGCTAAGAAAGTCGGCATAACTGGCAACATCACTCTTACAGATTCATTAGCGACTTCTCGCTCGTTCACGAAGATGATGAGTAATGACTAACAAGTAGGCCGGAAAATAAAGGCATGACCTTTTACCTGCTTTTTTCTATATTCTTGATCTCATGAGAAGAAGAAAAAAAGAAACGATATCCTGCAAAACAACTCAATTCTCTTGGAAAGAACAAGGAAAGTATCTTAAAATCTTTCTATAATCTGACACAACATTCCAGTTACGGATGCTAATGAAGAGAAGCTAATATCGCGAGAGGCTCAGTATACTTTATAATGAATTAAGATTGTCTGTGCAGCAAATTAATTAACGGCTGTGTGTATAAAGGTGCGAATAGCGTGTAAAACAAGGAATCGGTATGTTACTGTCACTCTGCGCAAAGTGACGTTTATCTTCCATTCATAACCACGGGGTTATCTTTACGTTTACGCGGCGCGATACTCTCGATAGCAAAATGCATTCACGATTCTCGCGTCGTCGCATACCGCATGTCACCCGCGGGTCAATTACATACAATGTACGACGCGTCTTTATGTTGACGCACCGTTATAATGGTTGGTATCCCCCTCGGTGACAACATTATTTCGATAATCGTGAAAGCCGTAAAATCCGCAATAAGAAGATTTAATCACAAACGATTTACCTATCTCATTAAATGTTTTCAAGTTGGTCGACGTACCGCGACGAGTTTTTATTCCCCTTTCTATCCCTTTAAATAATAAATAAAAAATAACGAAATAATAAAATAATAAAGAAATGGTCTTGATTTTTCGTAGGAAAGAAATAAATTGAAACCTTGCCTGCGTGAATGTCTGAACTGCAAACGTATGCGTGAGAAACGGCAGAAATTATACCGGCGTTAACTCATAACTGGCATAATAACGTTGCCACACGGTTGTTACAACCGCGTTTGAGATTACAAGTTGTAAACGTTAATGAGAACAAACGCGTATATGATAATGAAGTTATCGCTTTGGTTTTTTACTTTCACGCGATATCGTCGTATCCCGTCCGTGACGATAATTACCGCATCGGTGTAATTCCACGCACAAATGGATGCACAAGAATCGCGTTACACGACGTTAAATGCTATTTGCCGCATCCGTCATCTCCGGATTGAATACGCGGACATTTTATTCGCATACGGGATTAAGTTATCTTTACGAACGTGCACCGTTATGACTATCAATATTTCTTCGTTTTTACGTCGCGGTTCACACGATACCGCGTCGTTGCAGTAATCTTATAAATTAATTCAAAGCGATAAAAGAGCGATCACACACCCGTAGAAGGCGTCGCGCGTGATAAGGAAAGTTTTCTCCTTTGGAGAAAGAGAGGAGGAAAAAAAGGAGTCTCAACAATAGAGAAAGTATTTAAATTTAATCGAGAAAAATATATTTTTTTATCGTGTCAAACTGCACTCGATAAACAGACACATACTCGAAATTAGGTACACGTATATACATCGCTCCAATTTTTCCTCGTTTTCTCACAATTCCGATTTCACGAACGCGCGCGTCCTACCTCGAAACTCCTCGTAACCACGATTTCTCCGCGGGCGGATCAATTTTGCGCCCGAGACCTCCTTGGGATCCGAAGCGCGACCTGCGCGAACGGCGCCCGGTTAATTTGCTCGCTAGACCATGGTGGTCGGATAAATTAAAATAGATCCGGCTTCGGGTATGTTAGCGTAGAGCCGACTGAAAATCTTCGTACGTCGGACCCTAATGCAGGATTTGTGCGTCTATGTGTTTCTTTCTTCTTTTTTTGCAGGGCAGGACGGTGTTACGTCGTGAGAGGCTGGGATCTCCAGGATGCCAGGGGTGTGGAAGTTGCTACGTACGCTGATCTATATGGTGAGTCAAGCGAATGCGAGCCGCAATTTGCAAAATTGGATATCGATGCGAATTGGATATCGTCGTTAAGCGACTCTTGCTAAACCAGTTCGTATCAACACACGATGAGAAACGATATTTCAATGGATTTTGAATTAGTGCCAAACTGACGACAACACATTCTCCCCGTCTCCAGAATCCTTCCGCACCCCTCCTAGAAATTACAAGATAATTTATCGCCTAACGTTGTTCCTAAATTCTCGGAGATTAATTCTCGAAGATTAATTCTCGCATCGGAGATTAATGTAACGTTTAACACACTTTGAGTAAGACGTCTGTCTGCGATATTCCAATTCCGCGTAATTCTCATTGTTCAGGTCGGAGGTAATGCTAAATAATTACTGCGACGTTCCGTCTCTGTGAGATATCGCCTTGTTCGTCCTCAATTAGAAAGGTTCATCAGCGCGGAGCTATCGACGTCGAGAATCCGAGGCATCAGATTCGCCGTCTTAATAACGAGCGAGCGAGCGAACGAGAGTTTGCGTTAAGGAGAGACAGGAGCACGGGAAGAACAGTCGTGTATTGACTAGCGGCGGCGAGTTATAGAAGAACTCACACGAGAAAGAAAGAGGGAGAGATTCGTGACTTGCGTTTTACGTCTCGCGCGCGCGTCTTCTAGCGGTTTTCTTTTGTCGGTCAATTAGGCCCTAGAGCACGTAGGATGGTTCGACCCCACTCGCGCACACTGATTCCGATAATGGGCCCGTAATTCCGAGTGTGTTTGGCCAATGGCGTGATCTACGCACTCTGCCGCGAAGATCCTATAATTAATGAATAACGGTCCCCGCAGCGATACACATACCGGTCCTTCGTCACGTAATAGTCACATTTGCGATAACTGTCTTTTTTTTCCGCGGGAAATAAAAGGGGGACAAACCCGCGCGTTAGGGGTTCCCGCGACATAATTCGCGGGAATTCGCCGGTCTTCTCTCTGTTTAGGATGACAATGCGATGACGTGGCGGGAGCCGCCGCGACAGCTTGCAGGCGGATATTCGTGCCTACTCTAGGTACCGTTATCACGTCTCGAGGTCCCCTTTCCCGTCGACCCTCCATTCGGTTCCCCTCTCTCATTCCTTCTTCTCACGGGTTATTCAGAACCGCGCGCGCGAAACTACACGTCGAGACGGTACCGTGCGATGAGAAAGAGAGGAAGAGGAGAGAAAAGGAAAGAGGAATTTATCTCGCGGCCTTGCTCGCGAAATACAGACGCGCGTTTTGCCCATTCGACGATTATTATTGTACATCTCTCGGAGCGCTATAATTTCTTCCAATGTAGACCGGGACAGGCGAGACTAATATTACTAGGGATACTATCGCAGTTTGCAATTCAGAAAATAGTGGTGAAATCGAGGGTGTAATCCGCCGTGAGTTTGGGAACATACACATTTTGTCCTAAACCGAGACCTCTGCTACTACCGCAAATCCTCGCTCGGAGGATAATCCGATAGTTTGACGTCAAATTCCATCAATGGTTACGTAATTGCGAGATAGGAGTTCCCGAAGGTTTAAGGAAGGTCAGTAGTAAAATCGGTCGTAAGGTCTCTCTCTCTCTCTCTCTCTCTCTCTCTCTCTATATATATATATATATATATATATATACTCTCGTGTGTGTCTCGACCCCGATCCTCTTCGTCTCTCACGATCGGCGCACGCGGGCCGCCGGCGAGGTGGCTATTTCCGCTGTCACGAACACAATCGACTACCCGCAGACGGACATTAGTATTCGAACGCGAATATACCCTATGCCGCGATGGGAAATTCGCCTACCGATGCTTCACGTCTCGAATAACTTGGAATACCGATGTACGCGCGAGAGAGGTCGTAACCAAGAGTCCCGACAAGTTGTAAAACCGCGACGACCTCGACGTATGCGAATATTACTTGTCATTTTTGCCGCGAGAAGAAGAATATTCCAGCCGATAAATCGTTCGCTCTTTTTTTCTTTCTTTAAACAATGAACGAATTTAATTGATGATACGAGAGAGAGAGAGAGAGAGAGAGTATTCTGTCGAGCTCTGTCCCGATGGGAAAGGGTAATAGCTTCGAGTCAACGATCGCACGTATATCGATATACGATGTTGCGCGACGCGCACGCAAAAAGGGGTACGCGCGTCGGGCGTCCGCCAGGTGCGTAATCATTTCTAATGAAACGCTGTCATTTAACAGTGCGATTGTAGGAGCATAGAGAGAAACATGTTTTCACTTGCGCGAAAAACGGCGACCGTTAATGCAGCGGTAAAGACGCTTCTCCCGTTACGGCGCGAGCGTGGAATACATAGGGAACACCTTGCTCGCTTCGACGACGATGCCACGCTCGCTCACTCTCATCGCGTCTACTATTTTCCGCGATGGCGAACTAATACATTACCGTATGTATAGCAGTCCCTTCATTTTGAGAAACGTGTCGCCAGACAGACACGCCTGATATGTTTCACGGACTGATCACTATATGCACGTTCGTAGTACAGTGTGCAATGATTTACGATCTCCTGAGCAACGTTTGAGAATGGGCGATGTGTTTGTTTGAATTTCTTCTTCTTGTATGATTGTATAGTTTAATAAAAAATATTTTAAGAAAAAAGATAAATGACTCTACAGATTTTTTATGCTTGCGATATGATTTTGCCTTTAGAAATGTTTGTCGTGTTATAATTTTGAGAAATTTGAAATTAAAGTTGTAACTTGCACTATTTTTATAGAATGTAATCTGCAATAAGAGTTTTTCAAATTTTCTTTGAAATTTAATATATTGTTAGAATTTTTTCAAAGAATTCTTTTAATTGTTTATTTAAAAAAAATTGCGTTATAAAAATTGATAAAAACTTTTGTGTCGAAAGTGTTAAATTACTATTACAGCACAGAAAAGGAATGGTAAATGAGTTATTTTGTAATTTTTTACTTTATGACTGTATTTGTCTTATTATATATATTTGTCAATTTTATATGATTCAGTAATTTAAGAGAGCAAATTTAAATATATAAATTTTGGCAAATATTGGATAATCTTTTTTATTTAGATGTTCAATCAACATGTTAATTTTATTAGTTATTCAATGTATATCTTTTGAGGTATACAAGTTAATTGAAAATAATTAATATCGCTTGCTTGAATCTAAAGCTAATGTTATAAACATAATAAACGTAATTAAACGTGTTTATTCACATAATGCACAAAGAGAGAGGATAAAGTATTTCGATCCAATCATAATATAAACGGGAGCAAAAAGTATACTAAAAGCTATAATCTAGATTGCATTTAATAGACCAGATGTATCGAAGTGTTTAAAGTTTCATGATAATGGTAATGCTATAAATAAATCTCGATAAAGTACATATAGTACAAAACCTAAAATGTATACATGCATCCTGCTACTGGTAATAATTCCTAGCAACGAGATTGCAAACGCGTGCGGTTAATGGATTTATAAATCTTGCGTCCATTTTCACGTCCAACGTTTTACTGCACTATTTTTATTATAAATTTTAAAAAGGAGTAAACACATTATGCATAAAAGAGGAAGTAACATCCATTTACTCCGGCAATATATAACATCTTTTTTTTTATTATTTTTTATTTCTATCTTTTATTGTATTATACATATGCAATTCGACTTTAGAATTGAGCAGTTTCTCGTCGCGCAAATAAACTTTCCCATAGCGTGCCGGTACGTATATTGCAATCAGGATATTATCAATCAATGTAATATTATTACAAGAAAAAAATAATAAATATCGTCAATAACAGTATCATATTATTAAGATAATAAATATGACGAGATAATAAATTTAATTATCCGCCGCGCCCTGGCTCGATTTATGAGATAGTACGTTACTGCCGTGAGAACCAGTCAGGCGGGGTGTGCAAAACAACATCATCGCCATTAATACTTTTGTAGTCTCGCTAAACAGTGCCGCAGACATGCAAGAGAGAGAGAGAGAGAGAGAGAGAGAGAGAAAAAAGGATATAATAATGCTCGCAATATACCTACATTCGAAGCAGAAAGGATGCACAGTGATGCAAGATAAAAGCTATACACACATATACAGGGTGTCCCAGATCTACTGAATCATCCGTTAATGGCAGATTCTTGGATCATTCGAGAACGACTTTCCCTAACAAAAATGTTGAGGGAGACCATCATTTGTTGAATGTTCCCAATTTTTGCCATCATGTATCTTTGTAACTAAGTCTGAAATTAAAATTCTATTAAAGTATAAACTCTACTCTTGAAATTAACTAAAGAATGTGGTTTTATTTTATTTCTACAAGGCTTACTTTGCGAAAAACCTCTTACTTTCAATCGCTTATAACTCGAAAATGATTGGTACCTCGACATTTTTACTGAGAAAAAATCGTCTTTAAGATCGTGATACCAGATATCTGCCATTAACAGATAATCCAGATCTGCGACACCCTGTATACGTATATGCATGTATGTACGTGTTGTTGATTAATTCGTGATAGACACGCTGCGATGCGTACTCTTGTCGTGCGACTCGCGCCGCGATTTTGCCTCGGCATATCGGAGGCGAAGCGAGGGAGCGAGATTGTCAGTTTCCGATTGAGCGTGAGAGGTATTTACGGTTAAATCGTACGGATTATCTTGGGTCTAATGGACGGGCGGAGCGAAAACACACTGGTACTTAAGTTTTCATTACGGCTCCATCCTCGCGCGGTAGACCTTTCTAAGCGCGCCGCGTGCAAAAAAGAGGGACTCGATCCGCGAGTACGGTAATGAACTTGATTTATGGCTAATGATTTCCGACGTGGACATATTAGGAGGGGGAAGAGAGTGGGGAAATGGATGTTTCAATTGAATCGAACTATACGCTTTTCTTACCGTCGTCGAGTAATTCCGTACCAACGATAGATATCCTCTGTAATGACAATATTTATTGTACAGTTCTACTCTGTATTTCTTTTAATCGCAAATATTTAATCACCTACGAATCACAGAGAAACCTCGAAAACGTTTATGATGATTGAAAATACATTTATGCAAATTTATGCGCATTATTATCTGCAACGATCGTGACTTACGCTAACGTCTCGGTCGAACGTTTTTGCCGGATATAGCAATCTCGGCGTATGTTTCGACCCGATGACCCTTCTGTGCACCGGAGAGCAATTTTCTTGCGCCGCGAGGAGGGTATATAGGATCGACAATTTTTACCGTTGATATTCTTTCCGTTTTACGTACGTAACTTCGAAGCCGCGAGCTTCACGGAGTCGTACGTGCGTGTCGGACAATAAGCGAAGGAATGGCAGAGAATAAAGACTGCGAGAGAAAGAGAAGAGAGAGAGAGAGAGAGAGTTCAAAGGACAAATGCATAATATTCTTCGAATTCGCAGGTGGTTGGCCTGAGGAGCGTCAGTAGCAATAGCGACATTTGGCCGCTGGAGAGACCGGAAGGGATGCCGGCCATCCAGTCCTTGGAGGTGATGTGCGGAAAAGATCATATGGACGTGCACCTCTCGTTCTCGCAGCCCTTCGAGGGTATCGTTTCGTCCAAGGGTCAGCACGCGGATCCGCGATGCATCTACGTTCCACCGTCCACCGGTCAGACTTTCTTCACCTTCCGGATAGCTTATGCGAGGTAAGTTCCTGATTCCGCGCGGATAGAGCGCGATTAGTCAAGGAATATAATATACTCTCTATCCCTGAGAAAATCTCATTTCAACTTACCCATTTTCGCACGCATTTATTTATTTGCAACACTATGCGAGATGGTAATAATAATAATAATAATATGACGCCAGATTGTTTCGCTCTCTCTCTCTCTCTCTTTCATCATGTCTCTATTCTTGCGTCGTATTAAATTTCAATGAGCCACAATGAGCTTATATTTATCAGACATTGCAGAGAATCTCTATGTCTTTGTGTACTTATTTCGTTCCCCAGATGCGGTACCAAACCGGATATGCATGGACAGTTTTATGAGAATACCGTGGTGGTCCAATACGATAAGGACCTCCTCGAGGTTTGGGACGAGGCTAAACGATTGCGGTGCGAATGGTTCAACGATTACGAAAAGACCGCGTCGAAACCGCCGATGGTTATCGCGGACCTCGACGTCATACAGCTGGACTTTAGAGGTATGGACACCTTTATAGATTATACAGATGTTATTACTTAATGGAGATGAATCATCGGCATACATTTCACGAGCTCTTACAAGTTATCTTATAGAGAGACTTATTGCGCGACATCCGCATGTACGAGAAGTATCTTGCGATTGCCATCTGTTGCTGTAAACAATCTTAAACAACGGAGAGAATCGCGCACTCTCTCTCTCTCTCTCTCTCTGTAAAGTTCCCTCGATGAGTCTTTCTAATATCACGGTTAAATTCATCCCGTAATGTTTCGCGATACACGCAGTTCTACTTGCATTAAAGCAGCAGGTACGGCTAGTCTGCCTTTCAGCGTTAAAGATAGATAGACAGTCGGTGCATTTAATACAAGCGAATGAGATCACGAGACACACGTTGCAACTCGTGCACCCGTTCGTGGCTGACCGCATGTGAAAACCGCAGAGTCACACATATCGGTTAATTTAAGTTTACCTTACATACATAAATCGCAGTCAGTATAAAGCGAGCACATCACGTGCGGTAATATATACATACATGATATTTATGTGCAAGACATTAATATATACGCACACGCAATTTACACGTCGAGTGTTAAACAATAATAAAATGTTTTATATGTGTGATTAAAATATCGAATCTATTATTATACGCCGCAGAAAAATTGCAATTTAAAATAATCGTCATATTAAATTCATCATATTTTATATTCATTAATTTTAACATTGGATTCAGTAAGCTCAAACATTTTTCAATTTTTAATATTCATCATATATTTATTTTAAACCATTTTAACTTTGTCTCGAATTAAGCATATATATAAAACATTTAAATCAATAATATTGAAAAAAGTGTTTAGTGGTCTTCAATGATTTAATTCCCAATTTTGCCTTTTGAATAGATTGATAAAGATTCAATATTTAATCACACAATTATAATCTTATTAATTTTAATTTTTACAACTTTTGTTTACGAATTAAAAGTTTTAACATATGCATTTGCATATCATATAAATAATATAAATTATTCCATCTTTAAATCAAATAACATTTGATGTTCGCTAATCTCATAAATTTGAATGACGAGTAATATTTTTTCTTATCATTTTGCAGGCGATAACGTGGACTGCTGGATGGAAATTCAGCACGGAAAGGGTCCGTGGGCGCCGCCCGTATCTGGAATTGTGCCTCTTGGCTCCACTCTCACTCTGGTCATCGCCATAAACGATTATCGAGGTAACGAGCTCTACAAGAGAATAGACTCCATAGCTCGCTCAGGTTTCGCGCGGACGTACGCTAACGTAATTCTCTGTTATTAACCGGGCGCAGGTGAGTTCGACATGCGGGTCAAGTCGTGCGTGGCTTCGGACGGCGGTGGTCATACGATACAGCTAAGCGACGAGTTCGGCTGCGTGCTGAGGCCGAAGATGATCAGCCGGTTCTTGAAGGCGCGCGGCTCGGATGACCGCGCGACCGTCATCACTTACGCCTTCTTCCATGCGTTCAAGTTCCCGGACGCGTTAAGTGTTCACATTAAATGCAAAGTATGTGTACATGTGTCGTGAGAACACAAGAATGTTACATTTTTTTTTTTTTTTTTTATAACAATAAGGTATTATTTCTTACAAATTGGAAAATATTTTGACGTAAAGGTGGAGATATGCCGACACGGTTGCCTGGATCATTGTCAACTAAGTGGCTCCGTAGCTCATTACATTCAGGAGAGGAAGGACCAGATACGACCGCAGTATATAGACAGTACGGCGACTTCTATTGCCTCGAATGATGATAATAGCAGCGCGGACAAGGACAACGAGGACAACGGAGACGGGGAACAGGGTGACAGTTCTCTGTACGAAGACGTTATACAGAACGGCGACGAGGTGACGTCGATCGGCGGGCATTTCCTGGACGTTGAAAAGTCGATTCCGAAAGCGCAGGCCCAGACGGGCAATCGATTATCACCGATCGTGACTGTCGAAACACAGCACGATAGCGAGATCCATCTAGACGAGATCGATTTGTCGAAGCCACTTATGGTACTTAAATCTTTTAGACAGGAGACCACGTTGCATCTTCTCTTGAAAAAAAAAGACGCAAAAACAGCTCACCGTTTATCCTTTTTCAGGAACCATCGCCGCTGGTGACCAGATACGATCAGAGCGAGCAAGATCAATTCCCGCATGGACCGCGGAATCTCGAGGAGGATTCCGGCGACGCGATGCCGGCGACGCCGCTGACAGCGAGTGCCGTTCGTCGAAAACGCTCGGTGACAGTGACAGACCGGAAGGCGCGCAGCGCTGACGTCGGCGTCAGCGGTATCTACGAGGTCATCTCCGAGGCGGATCTCGCCTTCAGTCCTGATACGCACGCCGAGGCGGTGACGGTTTTCCAAGGTAGAATACGCGAGGAGGTTGTCTACGGGATCTGCTTGCCGATGCCGGGTTTCAGCGCGCTCTTCATCGTCGTCGCGCTCTCGGCGGTCGTTTCCGCCCTCGTTGCCGGCGCGATGTTGCACCGGCTGCAGGCGCAGCGAGAGGTCACCGCTGGCAACAGGGAGAGCAATCAGACCGACGTCCACACCAGCAATAACAACGGCTGGCTGTCTTATGGTCTGCTACGCGTACGTTGTACGACGCGATCCGCCGCTTCTCATAATTCCGAGGAGCTGAAGCAGACGAATGCGATGGCTTCGCAGGTCGCTGCGGATCCGTCGGTCGAGCGAGGCTGACCATCGGCTTTAAAGGTGCGTCCAAGGACAGACAATGTGCAATAATAATGTACGCTGTACAAAGTATGGTAGATGCGTAACAAGTATCGTAATTGCGTGCTCGACTCATACTCAATCGAGAGAATAATCGGGTGCAATATGGAAGAAGGGAGATAATTATCGACACTAATTGTCCGATTGTCTTCCTATGCGAATCGCGCGACGATAGACTACCGAGCTCTCGCGAATCGTAGTACTCGAGGACCCCGTTTCTAGTAGAATACGTATGTAGCCTGATCTTAGCGAATCTATTTGTTTTAACATTAGCCTTCATGGATATCGTCTTGATTTTTTCTTTTCTTTTCATTTTTATATAACTTTGAATTTTTCAGTAATCAATTAATTCAATAATTAAACACTAATAAGTATTTGTTATTTTATCTGAACATTAATTAATTTCGCGTTATATGCATCTTGTCTTATTTTTTTATACAAGTTTCTTTATATATAAACCTTATTAACCGAATTATTTCAGAAGAATATATCGTTGAAGAATAAAAAATACTCTGCTCTCTGACTCTGATAAATATACTACAGATTATAATATATACATTAAGAAATTATATATAAAAACAAACTAAGTAGAAATAAAAACAAAAATCTTAAAAAATTGCATTAAACCTACAGAAAATTATAGGGGAGATTTGTTATCTATATAAATGGGTTGCATTTTCATGGAGATTTTTTGGTGCCTTGATAAATAATAAAAAATCGTGAGTATATATTGTGTGCATGAATGTGTATATGTATGTTTGTGTGTTTTTATGTGTGAAGACAATAATTTAGGAAAATTGGAAATAATCATAATTATTGAAAGTAACCATAATTATTATATTAGTAATGCATTTTTAATAAGAATAAAACATTTTGTCATACAAAAATGATATCGCAGGTATACGATTGTTCTGGCGCGTCAAAATGTCTTCCGGAAATGCGGATGTATTATTCGTGATTCTGTTGTCAAGTCGATGAATACAATGGGTCGCGAAGCATCGCTTACGGTTTAAAAAAGTTGTTGTTTTAGACATTATTAACACAAGTATATATATTTATATATTATGTTTATGAATTGTAGGATATTGAGTCGTCCGGTGCTACGACATTTTATTTACCTAGAAATAGAGATCGCGTTAAAACGATTTGCTCTAAGGAGGCTAAAAGTAATATTTATCTCGGATGTGGCAAATGTGTATAAAATATGCGTTAACAGTTTTTGGGAAGTCTACGTGGCAAAGGAAGAAAATACATATTTAATTTTCCAACACTTCCTTCATCTTCTAAAGCTTCGACGACTTTCCGGGCTTGTGCGCAAAGACCTGACGGGAGAGTTTTACGATTTGCTATTTTTTATTTTCCTCAAATCACATGTATAGATAGAATGTCGCAAATCGTAGCACATTATATAAACTGTCGTTGTGAACACACGATTCGTTACGACCGAGTTCTTTATACCTGAGTATACGTAAGTAAATGTATTGCTAATATTCATATTAAAATGTCTCATGCAAAGACAACCTTTTAAAAAATATTTACGGTGTGGACGTATATTTTTTGTACGGTCTATTTTTGTCTCTTATGCGAGAGCAGGCCAGGATCCAAGTGGATTTTAATAACGGACGAATTATTTAAAGTTATATGTACTTTATTCACGTTCAGATTAACTTGCAAGCTGCCAAGTATATTTAAGAGTAGATTCTAAGTTATTCATGCATGTATACATGTGTAAAAACTTTCCATACGCTTAAATTAAAGCGCGGCAACATCAACATTAAGGAACTATTAGGTTTGAACGCTGGCATTACTTGACAGTGAATGGCAAACCGTTCGGGCAAAAGTGAAAGGCGACAATATGATTATTTAGTTAAAAAGATTATGTTTTTATTTAATATATATAAATAAATATTAATGGCAATAAATAAATATTTACAAAACCTTGAATATACACGATTGAATTCCAATTGTCATTTATTTCGTATACAAAAATACATCAACTGTTTTCACTGATTAATAAAATAACAAAATAGTTGTATATGAGATTAAAAAAAGAAAAATTAGATGGTCAAAAAACGGAAATACACAACTTTTGACACACCTGACATATTAATATATGCAGATCTATCTTATACACTAAACAGATCACGCTGTAAATATATAAACTAATGACTGCATAAATATACTGCGTATATAACTTATCGAATTAATAACTTTCTTCATTTAATCGTTTTCACATTATTAATGCGAGTTTTCTTAGTACTGCATCGATATAATGATGAATAAGCAGTGCTCCACTGATCATAATAATAATAAATCTGAAAAAATAAATGAGAATTATAAATTCGACAATTTTATCAACTATATTTTCTTGAGCGCTGCTTGATATTCATACGGCACAACAAAGTGAAACACTTTATCTTATAACTGAAATTTATTATTTATCGATTTATGTAATATTAATGCAACATTTTGGCACAACTTGTCATTTTAAGACGAGCAACTTAGAACAAACTATTAGAGTAACGCTTAAATAATTATGTACTTTTATATATTTGAAAATTTCCCATTGATGCGGCGTATTGTATACGTACGCGTTTATTGTTAATTACTTAATTTATTGATTGCAAAGGAGTGATATATAATACTTGTATATCTTATAACTTTATTTCATTTGTCTCATATAAATGAAAGTTTATTAAATTCTGTCTGTAAAAATATTTTTAAGAAAATAATTTAGATAGATAATAAATATAAATAATTATATGATATATTATTAACATTAACATTATTAACATTACTTAAATATCGTTGTAGGCTATTTTTGCGAAATTTCAGCCTTACTGTCACCCACATTATTGAGCAACGATTTGTTAAATGATAGAGTCCCAAATACCGAGAAACGAAAGAAGAGACTAAATACAAATACATACATAGGTAATAAACGCAGAAATAGATTTGATTATCTTTGACTAAATTTTCGGCGTATATCGCCTATGTTATGCCTATATAGGCCTGAGCTTAAGTTTCATTATGACGAAGCATGACTCCACGTGGAGGCCGCGAAATACCGAGTGACACGAAGTACTGCCTAGTTATCGTAAGACAATATTGCTGTTGGTATCCGAGAAAATAACTTCACGCAGGGTCGTGCTTGCGACATTCGATAGCCTCTACGAAACCTGAAGATTCGTGATTTCGAAGACCAGTTCATGCAAAGTTTTCCTTGCAGAAGATGCTCCGCTGCAATCTGCTTTATTAAAAGAAATTCTGCATACGCGTGTACATATAGAAGAATACTGTCGGTTAATGGCCAAAAGTATTAAAAAAAATAAATAAATAAATAAAAAAGCACGAACGTGATTCTTCTACCCGTTTACCGCTAATTTATTAGTCTGGCGCGACGTGGCGACCGAGACCAATTTCCTTTTTCCTCCGCGCGACCGCATTCGTTCTACGGACGTACTGACCTCCAACGACGTTTCAACGATATCGCGTAAACCGGTTCTTCCGAGAAGAGGGCCGTCCAATTTGACGGCCGCTCTTCCGGCGCGGATATCGGGATCGCGCTGGAGTGGATTCAGGGTGGACACGCGGCAATTTTCGCGAGTATATCTCTATGAGTAGAAGCACGTTCTCGAAGATTTCTTCGTCACGCCGTCGTTATACGCGGCGACGTTGGATTTTTTGGCTCTCGCCGAGAAGGGCCTGAGACGCATGAAGAGATAGGCCGAGAGCACGCACGAAGAAAGTAGAATGGCGAGTAATACGACGAGAGTAATCGCGAATCCGGGAGTAGTCATGCAGATCATGCTCGAGCTGGCTGCGTTCTCGTGAACACGTTGCGGGAATACCATCGTCTGTCCGCCGTTCACCAACTGTTCGCCGCTGTTGTTGCCCTCATCGATGGAGAAGGTCAAGTCGCCGGTCGAGACTACCCGGATGATTCGATTCACACCGACGGCCTTCTGCGGATTGTGCGAGATCTCTCGAGACTTTCTTCTTCTCTCGTCCCGAGGTTGCCCGGCAGCCGCCTGTAAATAGGCTTCCAACGGTAGCGGGATCGGAGGTGGTAAACCGTATCCAACATCGGGATGTCCGTTTGTCGCCACGTGATGATGCGGATGATTCTCCAAAAGACCCTGATTGTCCAGGAAGGGCAACGATTCCGAGCACTGTTCCGGACACTGGTACCGACAGATTTGTATGGTGCATTGAAAGTGCACCTCCATGGAATCCGGGAATTTGAACGCCTGGAAATGGGCGTACGACAGCACCGACGCCGAGGCGCCGAAGTTCTTGATCTTGGTAAATCGGGACATCAGTTTAGGTCGCGTTATGCAGCCGCGTTGATCCACCAGTTGTATCGGCGCGCGTTTACCGTCGTGCGCCATGCAGTTTCTCACGAGCATGTCAAACTTGGAGTCGTCGTCCTTGATCGCGAGCACCATCGTCATCGTCTGACCGATCTTGACGAGTCCCGAGACCTCGGAGGCCCACGGTCCCTTCCCGACCTGTATCTGCATCCAACATCCCACGTTGTCGCCGGCAAAGTCTGCGCGTACCACATCCAGCATGTCGACGGGGAACGGACGGAATGTGACCGACTTTTCGTATAGATCGTGCCAGGTGCAGCGCAGCTTGCGCGCCTGATCCCAGACCTCCTGCACCTGTGGATCGTACTGCACCACTATGATGTTCTCGAAGTACGTCCCGGAACCAGACTCGGCACCGTAGCCGTATAGTCCGTTCTCCGTGTTACCAGCTGTGCCGCACGCGTGTATGCTGATTTCAAAATTGACAGATGTACGACCCAGTCCCGCTGGCAGGTGGACGCAATTTACGTTGCTATAGTGGCCCTTGCTGAAGACGATCCCGTAGAACGGCTTGTCGAAGCCCAGGTAAACCTTCATCAGATTCTTCTCGCACTTCACGTCCAGCGACACGATCTTCGGCATATCGGGCGTCGCCACCGGCCAGGGTTCGACGCCGACAGCAGTGGTGAGACCACCACCAGTCGTATAAATCTTATCCATCGCTTCCGGTTGCGCTTTAGAAGGTGGCAACGGCGGCGGCGGACCGTGATAAGCGATATTGTGATGCGGACGTGGCAGACTTAACGCGCCTCGTCCAGGTGGTAGCAGAGGGTGGCCCCGAAGAGCTCCTGGCTTGTAATGATTTCCTCCCGCATCCTTCTCCGCTATAGAGTCCAGTGCCAATTGATCGGAATTACTTAACTCGTTGTCCTGGCGATTCAATGCCGAATTTCGCTCCGATTATCCTCCCCTGGAATCGCCTCCACGACTTCTACTTCTTCGGCTCGAGCCAGCTGTAAGAAAAATACAAACAATCAATATGTGCGACGAATAGATCTTTGCTTCCAACATTTTTCAAAAAGTACCGCAAATTTTTAAAAACGATCCAATAGGAACGGGTTAATTAAAATATAATCTTGCTATCGCGAACATAAGAACTTATTAGATTCTTATAAAACTAGTCACGTATTTATAACATCGCTTCTTTCCTATCTCCTCGCTTTTTTTCGTCATCATTAATTATGCATTATATTCGACGAACGTTTACGATGGATTCAATGAGGCTACATTACCATATTTGGGATCCCCATTCACTAATCTTATTTTTATAGAATTAATTTCACGCGTATCGATGTATATTTAGACTATGCATATGTTGTTTTAGACACAAGCTAATTTTTATATACGCATAAATATGTATATCGAATGTATATCGAAAAAAAATATATATCGAAAAGGAGAAGAAGAAAAAAAACGACCATACAACGGTATCCGCTTCTCACGTGCTCAATGGGAGGCCTAAGTGTGTCAAGCTCGACGGAATCGCGACGCGCGCGCGCCGAGAAATGCGGCGCGGGCTCGATTATCGGATCGGACAAATGGAGCGATCGTCGAAAGAGTTATTTCCGGTGGCGAAGGCGACAGCCGAAGGCGATATGGCGCGAGAGGAAAGGGACGACGCGGCGAGGAGGAGAGGAAAAGGCGACAAACTTGTTCGTAGTTAGTTCGATATCGAATGCCACATTCGACGTTTGAGGAAGGGATGTAAGAGAGGTCCGAAGAGAAGGATAGAAGGGAGTTCGCGACGGAATAGGAGCAACGAGTCGGTTGCGTATAGAACTTGTACGTTTTATAGTGGCCGATTGCGTCACGCGTGACCTTAGGGCATAACGGACCACCCGTGTCTTTAGCCGCGGGTCAATCGGCCAGTTCCGCGCGGAGCGTGTACACGTTCGGCGGCGGTTCTTCTTCTCTCATCCTCTTCTCTCGTCCGCCCTCCCGTCCATCCACTTATCCCGTCCCATGGATTTTCAATGCACGCGTCCCATAATTCGCGACAGACCGAGGCCTACTGAGTCACTTGCGGCGGATCATCGCGACAGCGAGGATGCCGAAGAAGCCATACAGCTGATGGCGGTCCAAGCATGAATGGTGAATCACGCCATCACGTTATACGTTACGTCAAATGCAGTTCAATAATCTTCACTTCGACTCGTAGAATGTCATTCGATTCTTTATATTTGATCGCGACAATTTGACGATTTTCTTTTCTATTTATTTTTCTAGATCAAAAAGGACATGGCAAATAATGATTTCGCAATTTCTTATTTTATTCCCAAAAAGCACAGTTTCTCAGATATCCGCAATAACTTTTCAAAGCCCATCTAGGAACGAGTAACTAGATTTCGTTAAAACCGTTATCCCGCATAATTCACATAGACATATCGGTGGCGGACAGACGAAGAGCATACAGAAGAGACGGAAAGCGCGCGCCATTCACGCGGATGCGGTAACGACGCGCGCGTTTCATTCATATCCCGTTCTACCTCGTCGTTCTCTTATAAGGCTAACGATAATCGTCGACCGAGAGGTTGAGACCGGGAGAAATAAAGAAGACGCGCGCCGATGAGCGCACATGTGTGCATCGAAAATTGTGTCGGGCCACAGGAATGCAGGAATGAAAAGGGTACACCGACCGCGCGCGTGCAAAGAAACCGGTCGTTCCGCGCGCGAGATTTTTGTGCACCACCTTGTAAGAGAGCGGAGCCGATGAAACGTTACTCGGGTCTCTCCCGCGGTAGACAGCAGCAGCGGATCAGAGCGCCGCACCATTTTGAGACATCGGGACAACCGAGTCAAACCGGGCGAGTTCTGCCCTTAGCTCTGGGTCAGAGCACTGGGTAACGGCATTGCCCGGCCACGTGCTTGTATACCCGTCGCGATATATCTGGGTTATAATGTAGTAATTACCTACGCGCCAAGAGGGAGACAGAGAAAGAGACAGAGAGACCTATCCCTCGTGCCTTTGCGTCCCCAGGTGGTCTCGCTCGAGATGAAACAGAGCCAATGGCAATATGTGCCTGCACGAATCTCGTTCATCGTTTTTCTTTCGTCTCCCGAGATTGCATTTGATCGACGACGATGTTACGCACAATGATCGAGCGCCTTTACGATGATCGATCGGATGCAAGACCTGTGTTAACTCTCTCTTCTCACATGACGCGCTCTTGAAATGCGCTTAACGCGGTTGTACATGGATGCAATATGGGATTGATCTATTTTTCGGACGGAGAAAGATTCGTGAGAAAAAATGTGTTTATGCTTACCCCTTCAATAGGAGACAGGCTAGGATGCAAATGCGTAACTGCATACCGCGTTGGCGTCCACGGTGAAACACTGTCGTATCACTGAAAACAGTATTGACTACGTATTGTTGAATATATTATATTAACATATAATTATATTATATAGTGTAGAAAATATAATTCATGTGTGATAGGTAAATAAAGTTTTATTCAAAATTAAGTATAAAATTCTTTTCTCAAAAAAATTTATATTGTAAAGATTATAAAATTTTAAAATACAATGTAGCGATAGTGAAATAATTAAATTAATTGTAATTTTTCTGCACAACAGATTAAATATTTGATTATGAAAATTAATAACAAATTACTTTTAAAATTCTAATAATATGAGAATTCTAACAATATATTTAATTTTTAACATAATAAAGCTATTTTAGCATATACCGTAATTAGTACACGATGAGGGTGAATTAAAATATGTTTTTACAAATTTATCGTGGCTGCATTGTAAATTATTTTAGAAAAGTCAAAATTATATTGAGTCTAAAAAACTACAAAGAATGATTATCTAAAAAAAACTACGAATGATTACTCTTTCTTTTTGGAATTCATTTTTGACCTATCACGCGTCAAATAAATTGACGAAAAAAAGCATTGCGTATTTTTGAGATGATCTACATAAAATATAAGCAAGTAAACAGCAGTTTAAAATTGTATGTTAACCGCAGAATAATTTACCTGTAATTCTGATTGTACAGCCAATGTAGTCCTCTAAACCGAGACACCGTGTCTCACAGCGAATCGCAATAAACGATTCTGAGCGATTTCCTTTTCGTCGGAATAACCTTCGATTACTCAACGCAACCGCGGTCTGTAATTAGAAGTTTTAACTAACGTTAAGATGGTAGGAAGTTGAAAGGGAGAAAGCATCAATTTTGTCATATTATATCAATTATTTTCTATTAATATCTCGAAATACAAGATATTTTACAGTCAACAAACATAATTAACAAGATGTTGAAATAAAAAATATCCCGATAATTTAATTGATACACAAGGGTCAATACATTGGCTAGTGGATTTTATTGCCCAAAGTGCTTGTGATTGAAGTGCGAGCTTTACAACAAAAAGAGCCGTCAAGATTACTGTTAACCACTGCTCACATTTCCGCTAGCCGAACGATGCGTCTGTAAGACAGCCTGTTGTCGCGTTTCGCTTGTATTTGATCGCCAATTATCGGGCGAGGTGGTCACTCCCAAATTCCACCCGAATGTCCGGGTTTTTGCTCCGTTATCTCGTCGAAATCGCAGTCCCTGTCTATCGACGCGAATCAAATTTGTAGGATTCGCAGAAATGCGCATAGAAATATTCATTTGGGAATGGGATAACGCGCTGCTGTTTTCACGCGAGCTGCTAAATAAATTGGCCAACACAGATATTTAATGGCTTGCACCTTTCAACTCGAAACGACATGAAATAACGGACTACCGGGATATAATTTTGTCGCACGTATCTTCAGCAGTAGGAGTGGAAAGAGACGCGACTAGAGTATGTCATCTAACTTGTCGCTACATACCGCTATTCTGCATACACATGCGGGACGGAAGTCAGATTCTTGATGTAAAACTTTCTTTCTTCAACCGAAGTATTTAATTACGGAAGAAGAGGAAGTGTGCAAACGGAAAAAAAAAATGATCAATAAACATGATGAAAACGTGGTTTTATTTCAGTGTAATAAAACGCTGGTCGAGACTTTTATTGTAGAGAGTAAATTGGATAGACACGAATAGACAAGGAAATCGGTCGTAAACGGCGAGTGAGTAAATTTATGTCGCGAGTATAGATACTAATCCGTCTAATTGTCGCTCTTGTCGGATTTTAACGCCCGAGGAATACACTGAGAGAATATCTCTTCGCATTCCTCTTCGCAGCATAGTGCACCTGAGATGTTCACCCGCGTATGCGATAATATGTACATGATACAAACTTTAATTCCATCCTATCTATTTTTTTTCTTAATTTTTGGCGTATCTCGGTCGAGTCTCGAATTAAAAATCTGTCTGCAAAAAAGTGGATCAAATTGTTTGTGTATGTGTAATTGGAGAACGGCGCGACGACTGCTTCCGCGCGCGCGCTCGAAAGAGAAAAGCCGGAGAGACGATACGCGGGATGCCTGCGTGCGTTAATGTGTGCATTCCCGATGTCCGAGTGGCATGTTTGGCGCTCTATGAATGTAGGCAAGTAGGCTCCTGCGCGTCGCTGATCAACGTTCGACCGCGCGTACGTGGAACCGAAGAGTCAAAAGGACCAACCGGTTAACCGGGCGCGGCCGGACAGCCGGACGGATGGCTGTTCGTCCAATTTGCGAATACTCCACTGGTTAACTTTTGTACATTCACGATAGATCTATCGTAGCACATTTAAAACTTGACCTACAAACGACAACAACTTGGGTCATTCATTCGTGTCCAATAGCTTTAGCCTCGTCCTGATATCTTTTAAGCGTGTAACTCGTTTCTAACGAATGCTTAACATTATTTTTATTTCTTATTTTAAACGACACATTTTCGAAAATTTATTGTAATTTATTCATTCGTATAAAATATTTTACGATACGCGCGCAAAGCTTGTAACTAAGCTGTTATATGATAGTCACATTTCCGCATTTCTCTTCATAAAAAATTTTATTTGAAAGAAATTGTATGTTTTTGATAATTACTTTTATTTAATTAATTCTCATATAAGAACTTGTATCTCTCTACAATTATTAAAAAACAGGATATTGAAGACAATTATTTGGATATTTTTTTAAATGTTGTAATTATTTTCTAGAAATATCATTTTGCTTAAAACAATTTATAATGAATCTTTTTATACGGGCAATTATATTAACAGAAATTTATTAGATATGAATGATTTAAATGCCGAATGAAAGTGTTGTAAAACATTCTACACAGTCACATTGAATTAATGACTAATTGATTTTCTTTGAAAATTCCTTGAATAAAGATGTAAATATTACTGCATTCAATCGAATTATCTAATTAAACATATTTAGCATATTAATCAATTAACAAAGAATCAACAATATTGAAAATTTAAATTGTTGTAAGGTATTTTGAACGTATATAATTTACGAGAATTTTCGCAAAGTTGTACAATATATTAGCTGTTATATTCTGCTTTTGCAATTTGTGTCACGATAAACCGCGACACCTGTCCTTCCTCTTACAGGTTGTCCATGTACTTGAATAAAAATCACCACGGTCTCGACTGTTTACACGTCTCCCGTTCCGCGTTAAGCATGTATCGGTATGCCGAAGATGTGGCGTGGTGCCAAATACATATAACGGTTCCATCAGTGTGGCGATTCCGAAGTCGGGCGTTCGCATAATGAGCGCCTAATAGCGACCTATATAGAAAGAATGTAGTTTCTTCGTGTTTTTTCGTATCCCCATCTTCTCTCGTTATGTCTTTTCTCATATTATTGACGGATATCGTGTTATAAACAATGCGTAACATTCGGAAGTGAAGACGAGTGTACGCGCATCGATTTTACATTATATATTATCCGTTTCCTGCTTTAATAGATTTATGAGCACCTGCCAGCTAATATACCTGTTCCACTTTTCTTCTTTTCTTTTTCTCAAGATTTTATCTCACTCGGTTACAAACTCGCTTGAATCTCGTTGACGCTCCGCGTCAATTTCTCCGCAATAACGACCACACATTCGCGACGTAACTTAATCAATCGTTGAAAATGACCGGTATTCTCGTCGATAAATTGAAATCGAACGAATCGCGGACGGTATACTCAAGTCGCAATTATTAGACGTGTCTATCAATTGATAGCGATAGGCAGATGAGCGCGTGCCGTCCGTATTACTCGTCCCGCGACGCGGCAATTGCACGGTAATCAAGCGTAACAAAGAGTAGCCCGACCACTCGATTCTCCATACATTTGCGATCCAAAGACGCCGCTGTGTATCTACGAGATACAGAGCACGTAATAAGAAGAATTTATCATTAATTTAATAATAATCATCAATAAATTTTAATTAATAATGCAGAAACTTATATCAAATTTTAGTTGATAAATTTAGAAATGTATATCATGCCACAATTTACGAACTTGGTCCTTTAAATAAATATCGAAATTTTTAAATAACAATATAATAGCAAATTGTTGTATGTATGTGACACACATTTGTATTTTTAAAATAAAAATAATATAATAATTTATTAGAGAGATGTATGTATTTTTATCGTCTTCCGATGAAATGCATAAAATCGTAAAAAGATTCACGATCTACTTTTTCTAATACGTGCTCGACCTCGTTGATTTACGCACAGTGGTATGCAAAATTACGTGCTTTTTAATTAACGATGTAGCGATCGCTTCCCTCATATATGTTTTTTCGTCCGCATTTTTTTTTTTGTGGAAACGTTGATACATGTTTATACGATTATAATGATAGACGAAAGAGACCATGATGAAAATTTCGGAAATGTTTCAGCCGATATATTGTAAAATAAGTTAGCACTGAACGTTGTACGTATTCTACGATAGAATGGAAATGATTATCACGTGGCCGGTTGTATGTCCCGCGGCTCGACGTATAATTTCTCTTAAAAGTTCGCACTCCGGTTGTGTGTTATTAACACATTAGCGAAGCGCGAACGGCGACGTGCGATTTGTTTCTAATAACTTAATCGATGACATAACGTTAATTGAATTACTATGTCCAACATAGTCGTAGGATATTAACCACCAGATTCAAGACAAGAAGCGCGGTTAATAGCCGCGAATTACCTCTAACGATGCATGCTCGTACACGTAGGGTATTCCGGGATTAAATCACCGCTGTATTACAGTCAGCTGTCCACGCGTAGCGAAACGAACACGTGCTCGAAATGTGACGTGGATAATAGTTTACCCGAGGGGATTCCCCCTCATCGCGAAGAGCCTCTCTATTAATATATTACTATTTTTCTAAAGGGGCTTAAAAAAGTGAAGCGTGCAATTGAACTTATATGGTATATAGGGTGAATGGCAGAGGATAATGAAATTTTCTAAATTGGC